CCCCCCCCCCACTATTCCTAACTGTCATTTATGGCTCAAAGATGAAGTAAAATACCAAGAAATCTGAGTGAATTGTTTCGACCCTTGTTACTTTCGCAACCATCGGCCTATTCTTCTTGCCGATTTATGGGGGGTCGTCGATTTTCCGAACGCTCTATCATCGACACAAACAAATTTACTCAATGTTTTTTTTCTCTCACAAATGGGCATATCGAAAAATAAAAAGGAGAAATACGTATATGTTCCATTGTTATTGCTGAAAAGAAATAAACTGCTTGGGTCACAAGTGTCGCCACGTGTGCGCTCTTACTTTACATTGGATTAGTTGAAAGTGTCACGCAATCATAGAGCAAATATCTCCGTTTTCTACCGTTTTCGCGCGACAAAGAAGAGATATCATTTAGTTGAGAGTGAACTCAATACAAGACCCTTCTTACCAGGGCTTTTTTCCCCAACAGGACGGCGAACAGCAATTTGATGTCACTGAAAGCCCACACGGACCCACTTTTAGCATTCTACCCTCAGCAGGCGAGTATAGTTACCACCTTTTACAAAGATATATCAGTTTTCAATACAGCGGTGTGTTTATCCATTCATCAATCAAAACTCGGTATCAGTTATCAAGCGTGGTTTCGCAAGTGTAGCTTAAAAGGAAATGTATAAATTGTCGTCACAAAGCTATTGACGCAGCTGCTCCCTGTCACGCGAATGAACAAGGAAAAAATACAAGTACCTATGGACAAATAGATCTTACTTTAAAACATTTTTATTGCCACGAAGACAGGTATCAAAACCAAAAACCTACAAAAAAAAAAGAAAAACTGTAACGGCTCGTAATAACAGCGAATCATTTGAAAAATGCCTAAAATCGTGACATTATCAGATACAAACTCACTCGAGCTCATTAATGATTAACGTTTCATTAAACACATGAGAGGTGAAACCCTATTAGTATACATAATGAATACATGGCTCGCTCTTTGACAGAATATAACGCTTTGTTTGGCGATGCTTTTAGGGTTTCAAGCACTTTAGAATCATTATCGTCAGTAAAACTACCAAAAATAACAAGAGTTATAGGCGTTACGAAGAGATGTGTTACAATGCTTAGATATCTTACGCCAATGGAGTCACTACTTGGACTGTATCTTGATCTTGAAGCCTTTAAAAACAAATTCAGTTACTGAGATAGTTGGTTGAGAATACTGTTATGGGCAACAATTTTTTTACGCCGCACATCGATCAAGACCGAGCGATGGACATGGCTCCAGGACTGCCTTTTACTTCTTGGGCTGATTGCACCAGCATGCAAAGAGGACAACAGCAAGTCGCCAGAATATCATTCAGGAACGTGCCATCGATGCCTTTCTGTTCCCGGATCTTAGAACGGATCTGCGCCATGAAGAAGATGTTTGCCAGCGGAACAAAAGTGGCCAGTCCACAGAGCAGGCAACTGTCTCCGACCGCCTCGGCGTTCTTGCCAGCCGTGTAGCAATGACAGAAGTAGGTAACGAGACATGTGCCACAATCATCAAAACAACCGAACAATCCGTGAGACCACTGTCTTGCCATGGCGAATCCAACTGAATCAAGTTCAGCGAAAAAAGATCGTTAAGATACAGGAGTTGAACAGATGAATAAACAGAGCTGTGATCAGCTTGCCACGCCGTAAATTAGAGACAGCGCCTACCGCCCCGGAAGTCATACCTGCTTTCTCAGAATGGCAGCACCAGCCTATTGATTGACATA